GAAGGGAAGGCCTGGAATCACAGCCACCTCAGGAAAGGGCAGTCACCACGAAGCCAGGACATTCTGGCCACACGCCACCTCCTCCTCCAAGCTGCAGGAAGGATGCCCTCGACTACCCCGCCTTCCCCCACCACCCTGATCAGCCCCCTCCTGCTCCATCCAGCACCGTGTGCACACCATCCTGAGCGCAGACCTGGTGATCGTCCTGAAGCGTGGCGCCATCCTCGAGTTCGACACGCCGGAGAAACTGCTCAGCCGGAAGGACAGCGTCTTTGCCTCCTTCGTCCGTGCAGACAAGTGACCTCCTGGAGCCCCAGTGCCATCCCATGCCCAGCCTGGCCCCACCTCCCACGTGGGTTTTCTAAAATCACTTGTAAATCACTTGTAAATAAAGAGATTGGTTATTTCCTAACAGAGGCCTTGGATCTGGTGGGCAGGGGGCTCGGCGGACTGTGGGTCCAGGGGAGCCAGCCTGATTTTGGCATCAAGCAGACCTGAAGAAGCGGTGTGAGCTCAGGCAAAGCAGGTTTCCTTGTCTGTGAAATGAGGGTGGTATTAGCGTCCTAGGGCTGCCATCACAAACTAGGAAGGCCTGCATGGCTTAAATGACAGCAATGTATTTCTGACAGCTCAGGAGGCTGGAAGTTCAAGATCAAGATATCGCAGGTTTGACTTCTCCAGAGGCCTCTCTCCTTGGTTGCAGACAGCTGCTGTCTGGCTATGTCCTCACATGGCCATTCCTCTGTATGCACACCCGTGTTGTTTCTCTCTTTTCTTGTTAGGGTGCCAGTCATTGTGGATTAGGGCCCCCTCCCGTTCATTTAGCCTAATTACCTCTTCACGGGACCTATCTCCAAATTATATTAATAGTCACATTGCAGGGGAGAGGGCTTCAACATGTGCTTTTTGGGGCAGCACATAACAAGAGTGATAGCATTTTGTGATTATCTCATCAGGTAAAGAGGCAAATTTCCTTATAGCTCAGTCCCCTTCCTTCTCACTTTAATTCCTGAACTGAAATTGTGGGACCCCAAGTACCTTGGATCACTCAACACTTCTTTGAAATGCACTATTTCCCCTGCACATGACAGGAACCCCATGTGGCTTCAACAAAAACTGGAGTTATTATTACATGTGACTGAGAAGGGCAGGAGATGTGCTACTTCAAGTACGCTGGATCCAGGTGTTTGACATCAGGATGCGTCTCTATTTCTGGTTCCATCTTCCTCTCCCTCCCCAATGACAGATGGTCACTAGAAGCACCAGCTTACACCCTACCCCTCTGAAAAAAAGAGATGCTTTCTCCTAATAGTTCCAGCAAAAATCTCAATTGACCAACTTGGGTCACATCCCTGCCCCTAGTCATGTGACCAGAGGATTAGAACAAACTGACTGGCTAGGTCTGGACCACATGTCCCCATCTCCATCCTCCATGCAGAGGCATTCAGAAGTAGGAGATGGTGGCCCTCCAGAGGGAGAGCACAGTGCATGCCACAGCTAGGTAATGGCTGGGAGGTGCTGGGGCCTAGACAAGGGAGGCCAAAACAGATGCCCTCAGGCTCCATCTGCATCTTGAAACAAAAGAGCATATCTGCCCTCAGCCAAGAAATGGCAGGTGCTCGTTTGCATATCATTTTATTATCATTTACATGTTACCTTCAGTACTGGCTGTACCAGGCCCTGAGGGTGCAGATCCCAGGAGCTCTGGCCTGCATTCATCTTGTTTGCAAGGGGTCAGAGCCATACAACATAAGTAAAACCCACCAGTCATTGGAGAGAGGCCCACCACAAGCCCTTCTGGATGTTCTAGAAGTCACAGGAGCTCAGAGAGGGACAGTCCTTTAAGGCTGCCTGGGAGAGGCAGGATTCGAGTTAGGCATGGGAGGGGTAGGAATTATACAGGCAGAGTTGGATAAAAACAGCCCATTGAGTGGTGGATGGGTGACATAAAATCAGATAGTCTTAAGTGCCAGGACAAGAAGTCTGGGATAAGCCTTTGAACAAAAGGGAAATGGAGAAGTTTTTTGAGTAAGAAAGAGACTTGAGGGAGGTGAGTATGAGGAGGTACAGGATGGAGCAGGGCAGGAGGCTGGCTCTTTGGATAGTGGACTCGTCCTCCTGGAAAGGGTCGAGCAGGAAATAGCTGAGGCCTCAGGGCCACACTGTGAGTAGGGCCTAGCCTTTCCAGCTCTGAGACGCTTCTGGGGCCCCAGCAGCTCCCTCCACTATGGGAGCTCCCAGGAGCAGAGCTTAGGAGGAAAAGAGGATCCCTATCCTCCTATGCCCACCCTACCCCCACGGAATTGAAGGGAAGTAGCAGGGGCAGGCTCCACACTGAAGTCTTGCAGGGATGCCCAAGGCCAGTGGTCGGCAAACTCATTAGTTAGCAGAGCCAAATATCAACAGTACAACGATTGAAATTTCCTTTGAGAGCCAAAAACCAACGCATGGGCCACGAAGTTTCAATCGCACTGTACGTGCGTGCCTGCACTTGGTATTTTGTGGAAGAGCCACACTCAAGGGGCCAAAGAGCCACATGTGGCTCATGAGCCACAGTTTGCCAACCACTGTCCAAGGCAGTCCTGGCCCAAACTTCTCTGTAGCATCCCTCATGATCTGCCAACCTTGACTTGGATACCCTACAGACGTAGGTCACCTCTGGCTATTAGAACTGACTCTTCCCTGCATGAAATCAAAGACTGCCTCTGTTCCACTCAGTGTCTATACTGGATCTACACAACACTACTAGTCCATCCTTCTTGGACCTCAAGGGTTTCTGCAGTAGTGCCCAAACTTTGAGGGAGGGCAGCAATTTTCAAGTCTCCTTTTCTGATGACTCAACAGCTGTAGTTGCCCCCGAGGTTTCCTGTGTAATCCTGTCTCCTTGAGCTCTCCACTCTGCTCGCCCTGTTTTCCCCTCCCCACCATAGGCACTGTACCTCTGGTACTTCAGCCCAAGATCATGCTTATTCTAGGTCATAGTGTTCTGTCTGCTTGTGGATATGGGAGGGAAAGAGGAAAACTCAATATGAAAGCCACACCTGGCTCTCCTGAGGCCCACAAACCCACTGTCCTTCACTTCCCAGCCTCTGCCTCAAGCCCCCACGCCAACCAATGAACACACATGGATCCTGAGCCCCAGAAAGGGAGTGGGGCTAGTACTGCCACAATACAGACCAAGCAGCCTTTCCCTTTCAGCCAAGAACTGGGGGACACCCTGTCCCCCGCCCCCAATCTGGAGCCTAAGCCATAGGGCACCCTAGGCTAATGTCTGCAGTAGAAACCATTCATGTCCAGGCCATGAGCTTGGGTCCTCAGTGCCCAAGTGGGCCCTAATACAGCCCCACAGACCCGAGTGCCTCCCAGTAACTAAGGTAGAAGAAAGCAGGCTTTGGGTGAAAGGAGGTGTGAAGCAAGTGCTGGAAACTCAAACCTTCTTTGAAATGCAAGGCTGGGGTGGGGCAGTCATGATTGAAAAGATGCAAACACCCAGGCTCCTGGGCTGCTGTATCCAGCATCCCCTGCAGTGGCTGTTAAATTCTGTTCCTACAACTTCTCAGGTACTTTCCCCTCCACCCCCACCTTGGAGAGGAGGACCGTGGATTTCATCAGATCCTCAAAAGGGTCTGTGACTCAGAAGAGGTGAAGAACATCCCCCAAAGAGAAGTAGATAGCTAGCTGAGAAGTCATCATGGCATCTAACCTCCTCCAGTCACCGGGTCGGTTATGCAGCCCCTTGGTGCCTCCTTTGTCTGGGAACCGCAAAGCCCAATGCTGCACTCAGAGGCGGATATTGACCCAACAGAGGATGGGGAAATTGGGGACGGACGCCAGGGCGCCAGGAGCTGTCATCCCGAGAGAGAGGGAAGGCAAGCCACGACTTCCCTCACCCCCATCCCGCCCTGATTCCATAGGCTGTGAGCAGGAGGGACCTGATTTTGTCCACCTGATGGGGCAAATCCCCAAGGCCAGCCTGAGAGTCTGGAGAAAGCAGGCAATGGGCGGGGACCGGCGGGAGGCGGGGCTGGAGCCTGCTCCCGCCCCGCTCCGGATCAAGAACAGGTCGGGCTCCCCCTGGCGGCCCCTCGGCTCTGTCCCCCCCACTCGCCTCCTCCGGCGCCCCTCGCCCTCCATCTCCTACCCCCACCATGCACAGGACGGTCTCCGCGGCGGACTGACAGACGGACCGGAGGGCGGGCCGCTGCGAGCCCCGCGGCAGAAGGGGGCGGGGAGGCCGTGGCAGCGGCTTGAGGAGCAGGAGCAGGTGCCGCGGCGGCCGGCGGGCGGGGCCGGGGCCGAGCGCGGGGCGCGGGGCGGGGGCGCGGCGCCGGGCGTGCGTGCGGCCCGCTGGGGGCCTGGAGGCCCCGACTCTGGAGTGAGCCCGGTCAGGTCCTGCCAGGGGTCAGGGGATCCGGGGCTGAGCCGGGCAGGGTGGTGACTCTGGAGGATCTCAGGATCCCAAGGAGACAGAGAGGACGACAGCTGGAGGAGGATCCCAAGAGCTTGAGACGGTTTTGGGGGGTAGGAAAGAGGGGCGCCCCTGAAGGCGAGGCTGGGGAGTGGTGGGCAGGATGTGAAGCTGGCTTGGAGGCGGCCCGGGGACAGACATGGGTGAGGCAGAAGACACGGTGGGGGTCGTGTGAGGTCTGCTCAGTGCGTAATAACCAGAGGTGCTAGGTTCCACCGTGGAAGGGGTGGACTGAGAAGGAAGGCTGGGTGGGGAGACGGGGTCTTAGACAGGGGGACCCCCCGGGGTGGTCAGTAGGTAGAGGATTGCTGAGCAGGGAGACGGGTGTAAAAAGTGAAGCCGGGGCCTGATGGAGGTGAGGATGAGTCTGGTTGAGGAGGCATCTCAGAAGTGAGGCTGGCACAGGCTGAGGGGGGTCTCAGAGTGGAAGGTGGTACCCAGGGAGAAAGAACCCTACCGTGAGGCCGGACGGAGGCTGGTCAGGGGGCACCCCCCTCATGAGGGAAGCCTCTTCCTGGTGGCCGCTAGAGCCATGCTGTCTCGCAAGGGCATCATCCCCGAGGAGTACGTGCTGACCCGGCTAGCAGAGGACCCCGCCGAGCCCCGGTACCGCGCCCGGGAGCGGAGGGCCCGCTTCGTGTCCAAGAAGGGCAACTGCAACGTGGCCCACAAGAACATCCGGGAGCAGGGCCGCTTCCTGCAGGACGTGTTCACCACGCTGGTGGACCTCAAGTGGCCGCACACGCTGCTCATCTTCACCATGTCCTTCCTGTGCAGCTGGCTGCTCTTCGCCATGGTCTGGTGGCTCATCGCCTTCGCCCACGGCGACCTGGCCCCCGTGGACCTGGCCCCCGGAGAGGGCGCCGCCGTCGAGCCCTGCGTCACCAGCATCCACTCCTTCTCCTCCGCCTTCCTGTTCTCCATCGAGGTCCAGGTGACCATCGGCTTCGGCGGGCGCATGGTGACGGAGGAGTGCCCCCTGGCCATCCTCATCCTCATCGTGCAGAACATCGTGGGGCTCATGATCAACGCCATCATGCTGGGCTGCATCTTCATGAAGACGGCCCAGGCCCACCGGCGGGCCGAGACCCTCATCTTCAGCAAGCACGCCGTCATCGCCCTGCGCCACGGCCGCCTCTGCTTCATGCTGCGCGTGGGGGACCTCCGCAAGAGCATGATCATCAGCGCCACCATCCACATGCAGGTGGTGCGCAAGACCACCAGCCCCGAGGGCGAGGTGGTGCCCCTGCACCAGGTGGACATCCCCATGGAGAACGGGGTCGGGGGCAACAGCATCTTCCTGGTGGCGCCCCTCATCATCTACCACGTCATCGACGCCAACAGCCCGCTCTACGACCTGGCGCCCGGCGACCTGCACCACCACCAGGACCTCGAGATCATCGTCGTCCTGGAAGGCGTGGTGGAAACCACGGGCATCACCACCCAGGCCCGCACCTCCTACCTGGCCGACGAGATCCTATGGGGCCAGCGCTTCGTGCCCATCGTGGCCGAGGAGGACGGCCGCTACGCCGTGGACTACTCCAAGTTTGGCAACACCGTCAAGGTGCCCACGCCCCTCTGCACGGCCCGCCAGCTGGAGGAGGACCGCAGCCTGCTGGACGCCTTGACCCTCGCCACGGCCCGCGGGCCACTGCGGAAGCGCAGCGTGGCCATTGCCAAGGCCAAGCCCAGGTTTAGCATCGCTCCCGATTCCCTGTCCTGAGCCGTGGTCCCTTGGGCTCTCACCCCACACGTGTGTGTGCACATGGGCAGAGTGATACGATGTGTAGAGTGGACATGGTATGGGGCCTGTTGGGCAGGCCAGGATCTGGGGTGAGGGCTAGGCCCTCCCCAGCTCAGCCTCCCCCCTGCTGCGCTCGCCCAGGGTGTTAAAAGGCATTGTCACTACCTATTTCTGGTCTTAGTAGGAGCCTGTACTGGGTTATTTTTGTCCCTGCTACTCCCAGCCCCAACTCAGGACTGGTTGGTGCCCCTCCCCGGACTCAAGGCTGGGAAACTGTGGGAAGTGTCAGGCCCTAAAGCTGGAGCCCCGTGATCAACCAGCCACAGCTGGGCAGATGGCTGGGGAAGAACAGTTCCCAGGTTGGGGGCCTGCTGCTGTGTGTCTGTGGCCCCAAGAGATGCCTGTGGTCAGGCCCCAGCCACCCTTGCTCCCTGCAAACCTGATGACTAAAGTGTGGGCCAGCTGGGGAGGGCAGCCAATGAGGGAGCCCATTCCAGCTGGAAGATTGGAGGTGTGGAGCCTGCACAGACAGGGACAGGCTGAGGCTGACAGGACTCCGCTCCACGGGCAGGCTCCTGCAGGGAGGAAATGGCGTGAGAAGGCTCAGCTTCACTGAGACCTCTCAGGCACAGGGCAGTGGGATGGGCACTGCTCCCCTACCCTTTGCCCCAACACCGAGGCTTCTATGGTGAGGGCTCCGTGGGCTGGGGCTGCTGAGCCTGCCTGTTCCCACTCTGTCCCCCACCCTCAGACGCGGGGGTGGGCTGGGGCAGACCCTGGCTTGCCGCGCAGAAAGAAGCTGAGGAGAAGGGGGTCTTGGACCCACCATACTCACTGAGCCTCAGACCAAACTCTGGTCCCGGCTCCCCACCCGTGGCTGCCACTGACTTTGTCCAGAGGGTGACCATGGAGGGTCTAGGGGTTGCTAGAAAAGGAGATGCTGGAAAGCTCAGGATGGTGGGGGTGAGCAAGGTCCCTGAGGTGAAGGGGCCCTTGGCCCCCCCTGATGGGCTTGACCCCAGGCCTGGATGGACTCTTGGAGCAGTGTTGTGTGTACTTACCCATAATTCTGCCTTCTCCTTGTCAATAAAGCCTCCCTCCTTCATGACTCTGGGCTGTTCTTGCTGGAGAAGCAGGAGGCATGCTGGTGGACAGGGAGGGGAGGGCTGGGGCTGCCAGCCCACATTCCAGAGGTGCCATGGGCTATAGTCCAGGAGCCCTGGAGAGAACCATGAGGCTGGCCCTCTTCCCCAGTTCAAGGAGACATGTCCCCTTTTGCCTCGGGCAGCCCAGCCCTGCCAACCCGTCTGGCCATTTCAACCTTTGGACACTCACCAGGCTTATAGCGCTGCCTCCACTCCCAGGAACTTGTAACAAAGCTGGGGTGCTCGGTGGGAGAGAGGTAGGGACGTCATGGCATTAGTGTAGTGATTGGAGCATAAGCTCTTATGCCAGCTGCTTGCATTCAAATCCTGGCTGTAGCTCTAAGACTTTGGTCAAGTAACTTAACCTCTCTGCCTCAGTTGCCTTATCTATAAAGTAGGGATGCTAATAGTACCTGCCTCGTAGAATTCTTGTGGGAGGGAAGTGAAAAGTATACGTAAAATTGTGCCATGCCAGCACGGCCAAGAATGAACTTTAGCGGGGATGGTGAAGGACTGAGAAAAGACAGACAAGAGAATGAAAGCTGGGTCTCATTGGGACTCTGTCCTCTTTAACGGAGAGTCTCTGATGGAGAGCTAGCGGCAGCGCCACAGACTACAAGCCGTGTCTTTATTTTAGAGCCAGAAGCCCCAAGGCAAAGTAAGGGCATGGTCACGATGTTTACAACATTCTTGTGGGTTTCAATCCTACTCAGTTACAAGCACCTGATCTCTATCAAGCCCACATCACTCAGGCTTGTGGGGCCACTTGTTCGGACTATAGGTTCAAGCTTACAACTACAGCTGTTGGCTATAATTGTGGTGGGAGGACCCTGCCCTCCAAGGTGAGACATGCACGTGGCCATGAGAGGTCTGTGCCCTCTCATTAGTCCAAGGCTTGAACCTGTCCAAACATTGTAGTCACCCTCCACATAAAATGCTTTTGTGCCTGGTACATAATAAGTGCTCAGTAAATGTTAGCTATTATGATTGCTATTGCATCAGCCACATGATGAGACAACTGGCCAAGCAGATCTTAAGAGAGAGGGTGCTATTATATTTCCCCTCGGTAATAAGAGTCTTTCTGCCTTATTTTGATTTTATTTTCTTCACAGTTGCCCCTCAAACTAATCTCAGGGGCTGTGGCTGCACGTATTACCCGGTCTTCTTGTCTCCATCTCACCCCCTCTGTCCATCTTTGATGCAGCCACCAGTGGTCTTATTAAAAGATTTATGATCATACCCACCTATGTCAACCACCTGCAGTAGCTCCCATGGTCTTCTGGGTCAAGGCTAAACCCATAGCCAGCCATTTCAGCTTTACCTGCTTTCCAGCTTTACAGTTCACAGTTGCCAGGATCCTGTGCACCCTCCCACTTCCCTGCCTGCCTTACTATCCCCTCTTTGCATATAACATTGACCTTCCTACCTCTGAGCCTTTGCCTGGACTGCCCAGGCTTCATGTCTGCCTATTGAAATACATAGAAGTTCAGACCAAATGATGCCTCTTTGAAGCCTTCCCTGATTCCTCTGGAAAGACATGGTCCTTCCCCCTTCATCTGTGTCTGTGGGTATTCTACTTTTGCCTGAATTTTCAGGTCTGTCTCCCCTCCCCGGAGTTCACGGCTCCTTGAGATCAGGGACTATGTCTGATTTTGCCCTGTGCCTGGCACTGAGTAAGTGCTGGATGAATGAATGATGGATGGATGGATGGATAGATGGATGGATGGTGTACATGACAGGCCAGCGTTATTGCTGTAGTTCGAGGCCTGCAGAGGGCTTTTGTTGGATAAATGAGAGTTTGTCTTAGTCTACTCAAGAGGCAAGACTGAGAGCCAGGAAGCTGCTGCTGCTACTGCAGTTCCAAGCTCTAAGCTGCCTCCTCCCTGCACCACACAGTCCCCTAGCGTTGCTGAGCTGACCCATTTCTGGGGTAGAGAAAAAAATAGATGAGAAGTTACTCAGAGTCAGCCTGGAATTTCTGGGGGCAGTGCTTGGCTCTTGGGACTTACATTAGCTGCTCTTAAGGCCCAGAGGAGGGGTCAGACCCACTGTGAAACCCCTTAGCAGCACCATCCTTAGGACTCCATCCAGAGTAACCTTCCTCCAGCCATCAGACATTAAGCTGCTGGGAATGGGAACTGGCAGAACTGAGGGCTCAGCGCCACCTGCTGGTCAGAGAAGACTTACTTGATCCCAGAAAATCAGGGCCACTGGTCACTCTGAGAGACACCCCCAGCCTTAAGGTTTAGCTCGGGGAGAAGCTGGAAAGTTCTAGCCATAGAGTGGAAGTATCAAGCCTTTCTTTACCCTTGTGAATGTTCTTGCCCACTGGTAGTGCCCCTTCCATTTGAAGGCATCCCTGCTTTCCATACTGAACTAACCTGGCCAAAGAAGGTCCCCTGAGCTCCATTCAGCCCAGCAGGAGCTCCTGTGAGAACTTCATTTCTGATATGCTGCCTCCAGGACAGCACTGGACATCACATAAGAGCAGACATCAGTCAGTGCTAGCCCACACCCTGCTCTCCCCAAGTCCCCGTGGACATGGGAGGGAAGCACCTCGTGTCACCACGGTCCAGTGCTGATGGCGGCACTGTTCTCCAAGTTTGCAGATGAGGAAACAGGATCAGGAGTGATACTAACTTGCTAACATCTCACAGCTACTAAAAGACAGGCCCAAACTCGAGCCTGAGTCTGTCTGAGGCTGCTGCACAGTCCCAGTGACCTGAGCTCCCGTTGTACGAGGGGCACCACCTTTCCTAAGTGTCAAATCCACCACAGAAAGACAGTTGTCTCTAGTCCAAGAGCAAGAGGGAGTGTGTAACTCAGGAAGCCCCTGCGCCTCCCTGAGTCCCAGACTTGAGACTGATAGCAGGCTAAGCTGTGACGTCTCCCACCGGTCACGTGGCCCTTCTGCTGAGAGGACTCACCCAGCTTCTTCAGGACTCACTATCCACAGGTGGCATCCTCCCATCTCCATCCTGCAGGTGAGCTCCTACCAGCAACTTTCCTTAAGGAGAACTTCCCCACGGAGCTTTCTACCACAGTGGCTGGCTCCCTACATGTCTGGGCTCACCCCTGACCTTTCCCCAGGCCCAGGTATCAGACACCTTATGTAGTACCAAGACATGCAGAAGACTTTGGGGGAAGAAGGTATGAATTTTGCATGCCAAAGTCTTGTGGACCCCAGATGAGGACAGTTTGAAGAACAGCAGGTGTATTCCAGCTTGAAAGAAGCTGGGGAAAGAGAGAGCAGTGGGATTCAAGTCAGACTGTGTTCCAGAGAGCGAGTTAATTGCACTACATTCTAAATTATTGGCATCCTCTCTGCCAGGTCCACCTGCCTGGGGCATTGCATGTCTTTGTGGACGGGGAAGCCGGTGCTACCTACACCCCCTACTCTATTTCCACTCGGAACAGGTCCAACTCTGAAGTGACAGAAAAAGCAGGTCACTCACGCTGGCCAGCTTGGGTACAGGAGTGTGAGCTGCCTTTCCCCGGATCTCAGGCACTGACACCACGGAGTGGGGAAGTGATGCAAAGTGCATATGCAACTATGTATTTCCTTCACTGGGAGGAGCGAGGGTACACAGGAGTACCGGCCAGGTGAGCGGTACCCAGAAGTGGTCTTCAGCCACACACCTCCTCTTCGTGAAGGGGTATCATTCCTTGCAGCACAAATGGGTCACAAACTCTTCCTCCATAGACCAGAGGTCGGCAAATTGCGACTCTCGAGCCACTTGCGGCTCGCGAGCCGCGGTTTGCCGCTGTGTTGACCAATGAGTTTGCCGGCCACTGCGTAAGGCATTACCCTCACCCAGAAGTTTTGACTTCAGG